AAATAATGAGGGGGACTTATTGTCCTCCCCCCGGCCCCCACCCCTGAGCGGCAGGTGGGGGCCCTAAATCAGAATAAGGGGGGGGATCTATTGTCCTGGCCCCCACCCCTGAGCCGTGGGTGGGGGCCCTAAATACTATTAAGGGGGGGACCTAATGTCCTCCTCTCTGGCCCCCACCCCTGAGCAGTGGGTGGGGGACCTAAATACTAAAAAGGGGGGGAACCTTACGTCCTCCCCCCCTGCCCCCCACCCCTGAGCGGCGGGTGGGGGCCCTTAATACCAATAAGGGCGGTGGACCTATTGTCCTCCCCCTTGGCCCCCACCCCTGTGCAGCACGTGGTGGCCCTAAATAAAAATGTTACCCCCCTCCCAAAAAAAAAAACTAACCCGTACCTACCCCCCTCACGCTAAAAATAATGAGGGGGGGCCATTAACTAAGTACCTATAAAAAAAAAATATAAAACCATTTGATGTTTTTTTTTTTTCTTCTAAAATCTTCTTTTTTCAGCCCCAAAAAAGGCCAATTAAAAAAAATCCACAATAACCGCACAAAAAAAAAAGTGAGCAAAAAAAAAAAAATTCTTCTTCACCCATGGAGGGCTCCGCGCAGACTGAGCTCTGCAGGGCGGGGGAAGGCTTATAAAGCCTTGCCCCGCCCTGCAATTAGGCTCAGCGCACTCTGATTGGTGGGTTTAAGCCATCCAATCAGAGTGCTCTGACAGGTAAATGAAGAGACTGACAGGTAAGTTTCTACATTTACCTGTCACAGCACTCTGGCTTGAAATCCACCAATCGGAGTGCTCTGTGCCATTTTACACAGTGTGGGAAAGTTCTTTGGAATTTTCCCACGCTGTGTAATTTGACTCATAGCTCTCTGGTTACTGCTCACTGTTTAATAGACATGCCCCTACTCGCGGTATAGCGAGTAGGGGCATAATTTACTAATACTAAGTAATTTTTACTTGGTATTAGTAAATTTGGCTGAAAGACCAATTCAGGTCTTTCAGTCTTTTGGTAGATAGCTCCCTGATACCGTAGAAATTAGGGAGTTATCTACTTATTCATTCCTGTCATTACATTTACTGGCTAACTTATACTTTATATGAATGTAGGTTACTTGATTGTTGTAAGTGTTGCAAATGCTTACAGCTGAATCCTGGCTATGTTTGTATACTTTTTATTTAAAATTAAATACAGTGTAACATTCTTTATTCTTCCACTGGGTAAGTATATTAGTTCTTAGGCAATACTGTACTTCGGAACTTCGGCAATTCATCTATTTGGACATTCGGAAGTACCCGAATGTCCGAATTGCCCAAAATTTGCCCGAATTCACATTCGGACCAAAACGAATTGCACGTCTATGTATGACACTGGTTATACAGTACAACTATCAGATTAACAGGATAATAAAAGGTATGAATTTAAACATATCTAAAATCAATAATATATTTGTCTAAATAATCAGCCCTGTAACAGCCTAGATTGTGTGAATCCTGTTCTGGGTAGTGTAAGATGGCCGACGTGAATCTCTCGGTCTCGCGAGATTCTAGATGGGCGACTTTCGTGTGGAAATTCGCCTGCGCGGCCAGATTTTGCAGTTCACTGGCAAGCAAAAAGTTTGCCCCACACTCCCCCTGTCCGCAGTACCCCCAGGCTAGCCCCAGAACCAGTAGAGGAGATTAGAAAGTGTTGCAATTGCAGAAAAACATTGTGATTGTGGCAAAAAGCCACTACGCGCGAGTGAGTGCGATGGGGAGTGAAAGGCAAAAAGGGCCAGGGCCCAGTAGGCTGTGGGAAGCCAGGAAACTGAAGAAAAGATTACTTCAAGGTAGTCTAACGGGGGTAAGGCAGGGGAGGGAGCAGGAGGGAAAAAATAGGGTACACAGATCAGTAAATTAAATCAATAGTGTAAAACAATAAAGTGAAGTCAAATCTCCTCAGAACAAAGTACTCTGACCTGTGCCTTGGCTGGAGCAGCATAGAAAGAGGAAGTGGACCAAACAGGATTCATACCTGGAAGGAAGGCACGAGACAGCACCCTACGGCTGTTCGCGATACAACATCGGGCAAGGAAAGCACCGCAACATCTCCTCCTGTTTTCCACAGACGCTGAGAAAGCGTTCGATCGGGTGAAATGGCCTTACATGTTCGCTACCCTGAGTAAAATGGGAGTAGGGCAAAGACTCCTTACGTGGATTCGAGCATTGTATAACAAACCCCGAGCCGTGGTGCGGGTCAATGGAGCCCTCACTGACTATTTCGAGATCTCCAACGGAACAAGGCAGGGACGTCCCCTGTCCCCATTACTATTCGCCATATCATTGGCATCCTTACTCCAGGTGATCCGCCAACACCCTTTGCAGGGGACAGACCATAAGGTTGCCGCTTATGCAGACGATTTTCTCTTCTTCATAACGAGCCCTCGGATCACAATGCCTTGCCTATTGTCGGAGTTTGAGCGATTTGGCAAGGTCTCCGGCTTTAAACTAAACCTATCTAAATGAGAGGTGCTAAACGTTACTACGCCCGAAGAGGAATATATGGCTCTGGACTCACTGTTCCCGTTCCGGTGGTGCTTGCAAAAAATGGAATACCTCGGGATCTGGGTAACCATTAACATGCCGCAAGTGTCATTCATGCAAACGCACGGCCTCTGGGTGCAGAGACCGCAAGGTGAGGAAGAATGTTACACATACTCCTTCGGGCCCCATTCACATTTCTTATGTTGGACCGCACAAAGTGGTCTCCTCTCCATCAATTGCACATTGGATCAGATGGTTACTTTTTCAAACTGGGATTGACCCGTCCTTTGGTGCTCACTCAGTCAGAGGAGCAGCCGCATCCTCTGCTTTTCGTGCAGGCAGCTCTTTGTCACACATTTTATCCTCAGCGGATTGGTCTAGGTCAGCGTTTCCCAGTTGGTGTTCCGCAGAGCCCTATGGTTCCACAAGAACAAAATTGGGGTTCAGCTGCAATTTTTCCCATCGGGTGGCCCATGCACTTAGGGCCACCCAATCTGTATCGCTGAACAGAAGCCCGGTCAGGCGCCACGGCAGATTAAGATCGCGACCCGGTCCCTTGCAGTGTTGGATGATCAGAGGAACTGACAGTGTCATTTCCTCCTAGACACAGAGCCCACCGAGCGAGATGGGAGATAAGGCAGGAGAAGGGAGAGAGCAGTAGCACACTCCAGCAGCACTTCAAGCAAGTCACCCTCCTGCAGATAAAAGGTAACCTTACAGGATGGTGACTGCAAATATAAACATTACGATGTGTGTGTGTGTTTATGTATCTGTGTATCAGGGTGTGAGCCTGAGTGTGTGTATCTGTGTGTCATTGTGTGTATCGGTGTATGTATGTGTCAGTGTGTATCTGTGGTTCAGAGTATCTGTCAATGTGTGTATCTAAATGTGTGTATGTGCCAGTACGTGTATGTTCTAGTGTGTGTATCTAAGTATGTACATGTGCCAGTGTGTATATCTGTGTGTCAGTGTGTATGTGCCACTGTGTGTGTAGCTGTGTGTCAGTGTATGTATGTGTGTGTGTGTATATATATATATATATATATGTGTGTGTGTGTATCTGAGTGTGTATGTGTCAGTGTACATAATTGTGTACCTGTCAGTGTGTGCATCTGTGTCTCAGTGTGTATGTGTGAATCTGTGCGTATGTGCCAGTGTGTATCTGTATGTCAGTACAGCCGTTACACACGCCACTGCACATATATGCAAGCATAACACACAAACACACCCCTGTATCAAAATACTAAAATAATATACAAACACCAACTCTACACACAAAAGCACACCTGCTACTAAGTACTGCAATCTGTTTACTATCTGTAGAAACTTGCCAAAAATGAAAACATTATGCTCAGTTAATTAAAATGTTTGTGCTGTGATGCTAATTTTTTTTCGAGGGTTCCACGATGTTTGTACACTATGTCAAAGGGTTCCATGGGAATAATTAATTGGGAACCCCTGGCCTAGGGAATCCACTTTTCGTACTTTTTATTTCAAACCTATGCCACACGCTGCTTTCTCTATCATAGAGAGTGTTAAAATAGTAAATATGAAGCTTCCTGTCATAAAATTTGGGATTATTCTAGCGTAAGTGAAATAATCATCTAAATTTTATTAAAGACAGGAGGCGAATATTTTCCCTCCCTTATACCTTTCCCACCCTTTAAGGTAATTTTCTAAGGGATTTTTTGACACATTATTTATTGTTAAACATATTCTGTAGTGGAAGATTTTTAATATAATGCACAGTAGCTCAGAGTTCTCTCTCTAACATTTTACATATGTTATCATACTAATTGCTTGTAAGTATGCCTTTTCTCTGGTCCTAGAGACTATACTTTCACGGAATTCTCTCTGTTTTCTCCTAGTGTGAAGAATTTTCACTATCGCTACAAGGAGCTTTCCGTTGTTCAGTAACCGTTTGTTTACCTGGTTGATCCCATTATGACCTTCATGTTGTGCGAAAACAAATAAAAAAAAATTAAAATAAAAACCTTCCCAATCGTGGCAAATCTTGACATTGCCAAAATTCAACTTACCACTCACTCTTCTCAGCGCTTTTAACTCTTGGTTCACTTAACCATCACCAGCGCTGGACCACCTCCGACCAAGGATTATTAAGGAAATAATTTATTTTTATTTATTTTTTTATTACCACACAAACTTTTTTTTTTTTACCTTACGTGATAACTGCACGGGTTTAACCAGACCTATATCCTTACCACCATATGAATTATTATTACAGCTGGAGCAGGCCAAAACCAACACTTTAATATGAGTTCCATTAACTGGCGAAATTGTAGACCACCTACACCTTTCACATACATTGTGACGTCATCTCGATTGAAGTCCAAATTCAGCCCATAAAACTCCTGCTCCTGCCCTTCTATGGCCTGCTTTACAAAAGAATGACCCATAACCCAAACATTTGTTACGGTACCTGAGGAAATAATAATAAGAGTGAAAGGATGAAAGCAAACATTACATCATGTCATTCCACACATATAACTTAAAACAATTTGACTCCCGTCTCCCAATTCCTTTTATAGCCTCTGCTCCAAAACCTAAGTTTGCCGCTTCAGATGCTACCCCAATACTGAAGGAATGAGTAGCCAATTCTCCTTTGCAACCAAGTCTTTTCAAAACATCACTGAAAAACATTCGGAAAATTGAGAACGTGTTAGAGGAGAGCCTGAGGTATGCCACTAGCAGATGAATCCATCTGCCTTTTTCAATTGATCGGTTTTAGATCGCAACCAACATCTACCTTTGCGTCCCTGCTCAACGCATTCTTAAACCGAAACCGGAGTCTAAATCTACTGAAAGAAACCAACTCATTGATCTTAAGTGCTGCAACAGGCTAAATAAAGTGCTGCTGAAAACAAATTTACTTTGAATTGCGAATAGCAAACAGTGTTTCAAAACTTCAAGCAGATCTCCCAACACTGAATATATTATGGGCCGACTATCGTCAGCCATACAAAGCGTTTTAAAATAACCTTTTAACAACTATCTACTCACAAATGCCTGCACCACTACTGGTCTACCCAAAACCTCAAAATATGTTACCAGCTAAACGCCTAGAAATTGCATTTTTTTTTTTTGTTGCTATACCATTGCTAATAAACTGAACCACAAAAGAGAATGCAACTTCTATATTTCCACCTACTGGATCAATTCGTATGTAATTTATACAGGAATATGCACATCCTTCAACCAAATATTATGTTTCAAACTTAACAATACTAGATTTCGCAACAAATTAATAACAAAGCAACTTTTAGAATGCATAGCATTAAAGACCTGTACAACTGCCTTATTGTCACAGCTTAAAAATATTAGTTTCTTCTTTTTTATACCAAACATGCTGCTACAATTGGTAACAATTCCAAAAGGGGTTACATTCCCGTTCAACCCTTGCTCTACCCAATTATCTGGCCACTGAGCAAAGGACTATTTCTTGTTCTAAATATGCCAAAACCAACTGACCCTGCATCCTCAAATAATTCTACCTCTTCCTTAACCTGAAAATTCCGATTACCATAATAAACAACCCATGTACTGCTGCAGAAAATGCTCCAACACTCTCAAGTCTTTCTTAATTTCTGCAGAAATCCTTACAAAACAGCGAACAGATTTTCTTTTAACACAAGCCAGCGCCATTCGCCTTCAAAATCTTCCTATACGCATAATACGACTTGCAAATGTTAAAAGGCCTAACATTGACTGAAACTGCTTCGCTGTTGCTCCCATAGTCAGTTTACCTTCAAAAGCATTAAACAATTGTTATCCTTAAGAATTGAAGACTTGTCACTGGCCCCACTGTCTTTTCACTGCTACAGAAAAAAAAACCTTTAATAACATAACTTATTCAGAAACAGAACTAGGACCAATAAACAAAAGTCATCCCGATAATGTACAATAGAATATAAATCGGTCTCCACCTTAACACTTATTCTAAAATGCCAAAAAAAGCTTCAAAGTAAAACGGGAAATGTAACAACCCATTGGTAAATATTTAAAATCAAAACTTGTCAAGGAATGAAAAACTCAACGAATTGAAAGCCCCCGGATGCACCGTTAATATCCTAAAGGCTGACTCAATGTCCACCTTCCAACCATCAGTGCACCCGGTCCAAATTCTCTTATCCATTTGAGTGCGTCATCACATTATGCGTAGGACACTGAGCATGTATCCTTGTCAAATTCGTCATTTAATGACGTACCAGAAGGGGAAGAAATGGTGAATTAGTCTGAATCTGTTTTTCTTTTTCGCTCTTTTTTTTTTTTTTTTTTTTTATTAAACCTAACGTAGAAAAAGCGAAATTAGCCCAAGGAGGACTGTAATTTTGCTAACAGATTCAACTGATTTTTAATTAATAACAACTGAACCACCTGAAACATACAACCATGGAATCTTAAAACCTTCCGCAAGACCTTGAAGCAATAACTTAGCTCTCTCCTTGTTTGGGTACACCAACAGATAAGGACACATCCTTTCAGTTGCCTGGAGTCCTAAATAACAATAAAAGTACTTTCAGTAGAAAGTACCACTGAAAAAGGACTACTAAGGGGGCAGGGGAGGAGGAGGACCACTAAGGGGGGATAGGGGGGAGTGAGAAGACCACCAAGGGGGGACTGCAGAGGGACAGGGGGCCAAGGGAGAGCACTAAGGGACAGGAGGGAAGATCACTATAAAAATAAAATAAAGAGCTGCTCCTCTCTGTCCCTAGCCTACCCCACAAACTCTCTCTTTTACACTTCACACATACACAATGCATCCCCATACACACCCAGAAACATACAATGCACTTGTTACACACAAACACACACTGCATCCCCTATACACACACTGCATCCCTTATACACACACTACATCCCTTACAAAAATTGGTTTCCCTATACACTACATTCCATAAGAACACACATACATTACATCCTTTACAATAACACATAACAGATCCCCTACACACATACACTCCATTCCCTGTGAGAGAAATCATGGGTGGGCCATGTAGGTGGATTTATGGGTGGGCCTTGTAGGCATATTGCATGTCAGGCCCTGGGGGCCCAGACCTTGAGCTGTGTAAGGGGCCCCAAAAATGGAGCTGCTTCCTGTTCGTTAAGTCTCCAGAGAGCCTCTTCTACACCAGACCTGTGGAGCCAGACTGCAGCCTGAGCCCATCATCCTCCTCTTGTCCTCGACTGGTGGTAAGTAGGCAATCCAATATATTATTAGTGGCACTAATCTCTAATTTACCTCACATTAAAGGGCCACTATAGTCACCAGAAGCTTAATGTAGTGGTTCTGGTGTCTATAGCCCAGTGATGGCAAAACTTTTTGAGCCCGAGTGCCCAAACCGCAATACATGACAACTTTTTTCCCCTCAAAGTGCCAACACGGCAATTAAACCTGAATACTGAGGTTTACGTTTAGAAAAAACTCGTACAGTTCTCCAAACTAATTCTCCTCTTCTTTCCCCCAGCATCTTCCCTTCTCTACGCACAGCATATCCCCCTCTCCCCCCAGCATCTCCTCCTCTCCCCTTCTCCCCCCAGCACCTCCTTCTCCTCTCCTCTCCTTCCCCCAGATTCTCCTCCTCTCCCCTTCCACCCCCAGCATCTCCTCCTTCCCCACCCAGCATCTCCTCCTCCACCTTTTCCCCAGCATCTCCTCTTCTCTCCCCTAGGCATCATCGCCTCTTCTCTCCCCTAGGCATCATCGCCTCTTCTCTCCCCTAGGCATCATCGCCTCTTCTCTCCCCTAGGCATCATCGCCTCTTCTCTCCCCTAGGCATCATCGCCTCTTCTCTCCCCTAGGCATCTTCGCCTCTTCTCTCCCCTAGGCATCTTCGCCTCTTCTCTCCCCTAGGCATCTTCGCCTCTTCTCTCCCCTAGGCATCTTACCCTCACTACCCCAGCATATCCCCCTCTCCCTACCAGCACATAAATACTGTTTTTGTTTTTTTTGGTGAGGGTGGGAGTTTGAAGTCCTCCCAGGCTCCCTACCTCCTTCCCGCTGCTGTAAGGGGGTGTGGGCGCGAGGGAGTACTGATTTACGTGCTGTTCCAGCACTGCTCCCTCTGCTGATGCTGCAGGCAAAACAGGAAATTACGTCTATGAGGCGGGGGCGCCTGATTGGCGTCATTTCATGTCTCCCGGCGGCATCAATGGAGCGAGCAGTGCTGTAACTCCCTCACAGCCCTCCATCCCACCCACCCACCAGTGCCACCTTAACAACATTATGGGCCCCCGGGCAAAGCAGTGCACTACACACAACTCACAGGAATTAAAATTATAGATAAAATTAGGCTTACATTTATTAGTATCTCCAAGAAATGTAATACATACATAAAATACATACACACAGACTGCTGAATACATACACACAGACACACACACAGTCCGCTGAATACATGCACACAGTCCGCTGCATACACGCACACACACAAACATACACACACACACACACAGACTGCTCAATACATAAAGACTGCTGAATACACAAACACACAGACAGAATGCTGAGTACAGACAGACTGCCGAGTACACACAAACTGCTGAAGACATACACACAAACACACACACATGCTACATTGAGGGGTACAGTGTTTGTGTGTACGGGTGCGGAGTGTGTGTGAAGTGCTGTGTGTGCGCGCGAGAGGGGTGCTGTGTGTGTGGGGGGGAGTCTGGGTGCTCTGTGTGGGGGGGAGGTGCTGGGTGCTCTGTGTGAGGGAGTAATGTGTGTGAAAGGGGTGCTGTGTGGGGGGGCTGCTGTGTGTTGGAGTGCTGCAAATATATTACAATCTGATTCCCCCCTTCCTTCTGCTTACCTTATGTGAAGGAGGGGGGCACATAAATCTCTGGTGGTGGTAAGAGGGACAGGTCCTGCAGCTCTCCCACCCGCGCGATGCTGTGTGGAGCATTGCCATGGTAACGCACGGCAATGCTCCACACTGATTGCTCGTGGGAGGACTGGAGAGCTGCTTCTCTGATCCTTCCCCCTGTCCTCTCAACACGGAAGCAGAGAAGGCGCCATTTGAAAAAAATTCCAGCACAATTATCAATTACTTACTTGAAAGTTTTCCACACCCACTGCTGTAAAGCTCCGCCCATTTTATCACTCTTAGGTGAGTTGGGTATCAGTGGTGACACTGTCAGTACAAATATTGAAAGACCTTGTGCAGATGTGCTTCAGTCAGAGAGTTGTGTCTACACCATGGAACAAACATTAGTTCACAAAAATAATTATATTGGGGAGTGAATAAAGTAAAAAAGCTAAAAATATCAAATGGGAGCAAAAGGAAATACAAAGGAAAAAAAGTGGTTCTGGTGACTGTAGTGTCCCTTTTAATACAAGGTAAATTAGAGATTAGTACCACTAATAATATACTAGATTACCTACTTACAACCAGATGAGGACAAGAGGATGATGATGGGCTCTAGCTGCAGTCTAGCTCCACTGGTCTGACGTAGAACACACTCTCTGGAGGCAGTTTGTAACAGTGCTCTCAAAAGTCAATGCCGTGGGTCAAACAGGAAGCAGCTACATTTTTGGCGAGCCCTTACGCAATTTAAGGTCTGGGCCCCTAGGGCCTGACTGTGAGTATGCCCACAAGGCACACCCATAAGTCCACTTACATGACCCACCCATGAGTTCACTCACAAGGGGGTAGAGTGTATGGATGTTTTATGTGTTATTGTAGAGGATGTAATGTTTGTGTGTGTGTGTGTGTGTGTGTGTGTGTGGTCATGGAATGTAATGTATAGAGATACCAGTTTGTGTAGGAGATGTAGTGTGTGTAGTAGGTGCAGAGTGTTTGTGTGTAAGGGATAGAAAGCGGTGTATGTTTGTGTGTAGTGAATGCATTGTGTTTGTGTGTAAGGGATTCATTGTGTGATTGTGTGTGTAAGGGATTGAAGGTGTGTTTTTCTGTATGTAAGGGGTGTAGTGTGTGTGTGTAAGAGATGCATTGGGTGTGTGTGTTTAGAGATCCATTGTCTGTTTCTGTGTGGTGTTTAGAGATCCATTTTCTGTTTCTGTGTGTGTATGTGTGTAGGGATGCATTGGGTGTTTATGCGTGTGCAGTGTGAAAGAGATAATTTGTGGGGTAGAATAGGGGCTGAATCTTGCCGGGGCTGAGAGGGAAGCAGCTCTTTATTTTTATTATAATATTTATTTTGTTAATCTAATTTTTGTGTGTGTCTTACATTCCCCTTTAGTGTATCTCTTAAAAGCACATTGTGTGTCTCTTATCCCCTCTCTTTGTATGTCTCCTACATCCTCCCAACCCCTTTGTGTGTCTTTCTCACCCCAGCCCCTTTGTGTGTCTTACTCACCCCAGCCCCTTTGTCTCTTTTACTCTTCCCATCTCTTGTGTGTCTGTGTGTCTTCCTCCCCAGGCCCCTCTGTGTGTCTCTTTCTCCCATAATACCTTTGGACGAGACACAGAGCGGCAGAGAAAGGGGAAAAAGAGAAACACTCCCCCAGTCCCTTAATGATCTCTTTCACTCCTCCCCCGTCACTTAGTGGTCCTCTTCCTTCCCTGTACCTTAGTGCACTCCTCTCTCTTAGAGCTCTCCCCTCCTGTCCTTTTGTGCTCTGCCATCCTTTGCTCTCCCCTGCCCCCTCTCCCTTATTGCTCTCCCCTGCCCCCTCTCCCTTATTGCTCTCCCCTGCCCCCTCTCTCGTTGCTCTCCCCTGCCTCCTCTCTCTTGTTGCTCTCC